GGCTTGCTTTCTCTCTCTCTGTCTCTCTCTCTCTCTGGTGAGCACATGTGCCCTATAGCAAACGAACAAATAATGATAATAATTAAATTAAATAAATAATTCTTTTTTAAAATTCAAAATAAAGTTTCTTTCCAAGTTTCTGAAGACATCATGAGTTTTTTTTCCTTTTTCTATGCATCTTCAGGTATTTTGACTGCAATAAAAGACAACTATTGGTAGTATTAGTGATTGTTCCACCCACTTACTAATAGTCTTTTTTTGGGGGCGGGGGGAGAGATTTTCGCTATAGGGCGCGTGCACTCGCCAGACAGACAGAAAGAGACATAGAGACAGAAAGCGAGAAATCACCCCCCAGGGGGGATGGTCACACCACAATCCCTTCTCCTCCACTCTCCTCTCGGGATCTTGGGCATGCACGCACACGCGCCCGGCGTGAGTTTTAAGCCACTGGTTCCGGGATGTGAATTGCAGTCGACTACATGGGAGTCCAGTGACATAGCTATTACGCTAACTGCTGGTTCCCACTTACTAACAATCTTCAGCTGTTTTTTTTTTTTTTGGAGAGGTTTTTGCTGAAGAGCACGTACACTCACCAGAAAGACAGAGAGACAGAAAGTAAGAAATCATCCCCCAGGGGGTTTGGCCATGCCACAGTCTCTTCTTCTCCACTCTCCTCTTGTGATCTTGGGCACACATGCACACGCGCCTGGTGTGAGTTTAAGCCACTGGGTCTGGGACTTGAACCATGGCTGACTACATGGGAGTCCAGCATCATAGTCATTACACCAACTGCTGGTCCCCTTCAGCCATTTTTTTCCCTCCTTTTTTTGTCTGTGGAGCCTGATGTTTGGCAACTGAAAGACTACTCTGGGGGTCAGCAGGTGGTGTGGTGGTTAAGTTACTGGACTCCAATTTGTCCAACCACAGTTCAGGTTCCAGACCTAGTGGCTTGAAACTCATGCCAGGCGCTTGTGCATGCCCAAAATCCCAAGAGGAAAATGGAGAAGGGATTGCAGCATGACCATTTCTCACTTTCTGTCTCTCTGGTGTATGCACATGCCTTATAAAAAAAAAATCTCTTAAAAACAACAACAACAACAAAAAGTGCACGCACACACACTTCAACTCACTAATTTAACTCATAATACAGGCCAGAGAGAGGATAGAGCTATCTATTTGAATTCTCTTCCATGTTTCCGTTCTTTTTCTTTTTTAAAAAGAACGGGACCAGCAGGTGGCATGGTGGTTAAGGTGCCGGACACTCCCACATGGCCAACCACGGTTTGAGTCCCAGACAGACCTGGTGGCTTGCTTTCTCACTTTCTCTCTCTCTCGCTTTCTGTGTCTCTCTCTGGCCAAATTTAAATAAATGAATGAATAAATAAAATTAGATAATTATTGAAAAAAAAAAAAAAGAACGGGAGGGGGACCAGCAGGTGATACTGTGGTTAAGGGCGCTGAACTCTCGCCCACGGTTTGAGTCCCAGACCTGGTGTCTTGCTTTCTCACTTTCCCTCTTTCTTTCTCACTCTGTCCCTCTTTGGTCAAATTTAAATAAATAAATAGATAGATTAATTAATTAATTAATCCGCAGATGGCATAATGGTTACATTGCTCAACTCTCACCTAGTCAACTACAGTCCGAGTCCGGCAATTTCTTTTTCTTTTTCTTTTTTTTAAGAACTCAAGCTGCAGTTGGCTGGGTCAGAGTTCAACACCTTAACTCTCACACCACCTGCTGGCCCCTTCAGTTCTTTTTCAAGGATGAAGATGTTTTGGTTTCTCATTCAGAGTACCTCATTAAATATTTCACTTCTCTTTGTAGCTGAGCTGCTTGCCAAAAAACAGCCATTAAAAACCAGTGAGGTCTACTCTGACGATGAGGAAGAGGAAGAGGATGACAAGTCCAGTGAGAAGTCAGACCGCTCATCCCGGACGTCGTCGTCTGATGAAGAGGAGGAGTAAGTGTTTTAATTTTGATCTAGGGGATAAGATGAGGAGGTTCAGGGCTGGCAGGTAGCATGGAGGTTAAGGGCGCTAGACTCACATGTGGTCGACTGTGGTTCGAGTATCTGACCTGGCAGCTTCCTTTCTCACTTTCTCTCTCTCCCTCTCATTCGGTCCCTCTCTGTTCAAATTAAAATATATGCATACGTACATAAAAATAAGTTAAATAAAACAATTCTTTAAAGAAAAAAAAAGATGAGTGGGTTCTTTGAGGAAAGTCTTAGCATAGCGTCTGAAGTCTCCCTGCGTAAGCTGTGAGCTTTGGTTGGGTTCTAACCTAACCTGCTGCACTGACCAGCAGGTCATTTATTTCCTCTGTCTCTGCCTCCTAGGCCCAAGGCCCTGTAACCTTGGGCATTTCATCTGGGCCTGGGAGGTAGGAGCTGTCTTCATGCCTCCCTCAGATTGGCCTGAGCGTTTGTTCGTTTTCTTCCTCTGATAGGTTGTCTGGACGACAGCCTCCTTCAGGACAGTTCCATGGCTGGTTAGGAATAGGATTCTGTTACAACTCAAGCGTTTCTAGTGCTTCGTTTATTTCTCCTACTGGGTTAATCACATGTACTTCTTCAGTTGAGTTATGTTTTGAGAAGTTGATATTTTTATTTTCTGTTTTTATGATGAACACTTTTCTCATAGGAAAGAAGAGATCCCTCCAAAATCACAACCAGTCTCCTTACCTGAAGAATTGAATCGGGTTCGATTGTCACGGCATAAGCTAGAACGTTGGTGTCACATGCCCTTCTTTGCTAAAACAGTCACGGGATGTTTTGTCCGAATTGGAATTGGAAACCACAACAGCAAACCAGTTTATCGGGTTGGTATTTCTTTCCTGGAGTAATTATCCACATTTTAAATATGGTTCTCAACTGGGGATAGAAACTACTGAACGACGTTGTCATACTTCTTCCACCATTTGAGTGAAAAATAGACTCCGATGCTACACAAAGACAAACTGAAGTGATGGGCTGTCATTCATGACCTGCAGCCAGGGAAAGTAGTTGGAGCCCAAGGGCCTGGTGGGTTTGGATTTAGAATAATTTTCTCTATCCTCCTTGAGTATAAAAGAGAGAATGGAGACATAAAGTATTTATGGCTGGAGCCAGCAGGTGGCGTGGTGGTTGGAGTCCCGTAGCCAGCAGCTTGAAAAACACATGCACATACCCAAAATCCCAACAAGAAAATGGAGGAGAAAGGATTGCGTTGTGACCATCACCCCAAGGGGTGATTTCTCACTTTCTCCTCCCTTTCTCCCCCTGCCCTCATCTCTGTCTCTGGTGAGCACATGTGCCCTATGGCAGAAATATTTTTTAAAAAGGAATTTTAAAATGGATGTTACATAAGCTAAAAGATTTATTCATATGAAAAGCAAATGAATGAAAAATTGCCGTGTTACATACAAAGTGACTTACAGACCAGAAGACTGTATTGAGGTCAAAAACAAAAGTCTGTGTACAGTGGCTTGTGCCTTTACTGGAGAAGGCTCTCTCCTCTCTGGTGGATGTACACACTCTATAACCAAAAAAAGAAAGAAAGAAAGAAAAAAGAAAGCTTTAGCTGTCAGGCTTTTATAGATATTCCAGCAGTGCCTCTGTAGTCTGAATCACTTTAACAGCTCTGTGATTTTTCTGCTGTGTTGTGTTTGTTTTGTTCCAGGCTGTTTATTGTTTATTTTTTTTTTTAAAGAATTTGGGGTTTGGGGAGTTTTGTAGAATTATTTAATTTTATTTTATGCGTTCGTTTATTTTCATTTGACCAGAGAGATAAGCAGAGAGAGAGAGAGAAAGTGATAAAGCAGGCCAACAGGACTCGGACCGTGGTTGCCATATGGGAATGTCCAGCACCTTAACCACCACACCACCTGCTGGCCCCAAATTTGGGTTTTTTAAGAGAGAGACTTTTTGCCATAGGGCACGTGTGCTAGCCTGAGAGACAGAGAGAGAAAAAGCGAGAAATCTCCTCCCAGGAGGATGACCGTGCCACAGTCCCTTCTTCTGGGATTTTGGGCACATATGCACACATGCCCAGTGTAAGTTGAGAGCCACCAGGCCTGGGACTTAAGCCATAGTCGACCATGTGGGAATCTAGTGCCTCAACCACTACACCACCTCCCAGCTCCATAAGTTATTTATTTTATTTTATGTATTTATTCAATTTACCAGAGAGAGAGAAAGAGGGGGACCATAAGAAAGCAAGCTGCCAGGTCTGGGACTTGAACTATCATCTACTGTGTGGGAGTCTAGGACCTTACCACCTTACTACCCGCTAACCTTGGAGGAAAAACTTTTTGTTTTTAAAGAATTATTTTATTAGGGGGAACCAGCAGTTAGCTAATGGCTATATCGCTGGACTCCCACGAAGGCGACCGCGGTTCGAGTCCTGGACCTGGTGGCTTTAACTCACGCTGGGCGCATGTGTGTGCGTGCGTGCCCAAGATCCCGAGAGGAGAATGGAGGAGAAGGGATTGCGGCGTGGCCATCCCCCCGGGGGGTGATTTCTCGCTTCCTGTCTCTATGTCTCTCTCTGTCTTTCTGGCAAACGTATGCGCCCTATAGCAAAAACCTCTTCAAAAAAAAAAAGAATTATTTTCTTGGTACCAGCAGTTAGCATAATGGCTATGTCACTGGACTGCCATGTAGTCAACCTGGTGGCTTAAACTCAAGCCAGGTGCGTGTGCGTGCATGCACAAGATCCTGAGAGAAGAATGGAGGAGAAGGGATTGTGGCGTGGCCATCCCCCCTGGTGGGTGATTTCTCACTTTCCGTCTCTCTGTCTCTGTCTTTCTGGCGAGCGCACACACCCTATAGCGAAAACCTCTCAAAAAAATAAATAAAAAAAAATAATAATAATAATAAATAGATTTTATTGAACGTTAATTATTTAAATTTAACTAGAGAGGAACAGTGAGAGAGAGAGAGAGCAAGAAAGTAAGCCGCTAGGTCCAGGACTTGAACCACATTTGGCCCTGTGGAAATCTGGTACCCTTAACCACCATACCACCTGCCAGCCCCAGAGGAAAAACTTCTAACAGACCACCTAGACTAACAGTGTCTTCTCCTGAAGCTTTCTTTTTTTTTTTTTTCAAATAATTATTTTATTTAACTTTATTTATTATTTATTCATTTGTTTATTTCAATTTGACCAGAGAGGGACAGAGTGAGAGAGAGAGGGGGAGAGAGAGTGAGAAAGCAAGCCGCCGGATCCAGGACTTGAACCACGGTCGGCCATGTGGGAATCTAGCGCCTTTAACCATCATGCCACCTGCCAGCCCCTCTCCTGGAGCTTTCTTACACTGGGCAGTTGTGGGGTCCTCTCAGCACAGCGTCATTTGTCTGCATTCAGGTAGGTAGAGGCAAAGAAGAACTGGTGTGAGGAGCTCTGAAAGGCTCTGTCTGTTTTGTTTTTAATTAGAGAGCATAGGAGAAGGGAAGGAAGAGAAGATTGAGAGAGAGAAGTGTATTTGACCCATTGGGATCCTCTGCCCAGTCTCCTAGTTCTCTGGGATTTCAGGTACACACCACACCCAGCTTGTTCAGGTCTATCCAGGATCCAACATCAGCCTCCCAGTGGCCCTAACCTACACTGCAGTGCCCTACAACCTGTGGCACCATAGCTGCTCCTGATAAGGCTAGGTTTTTACCACAGGGCACAGGCACTCAACCAGACACAGAGAAAGTGAGAAATCATCCCATCCCCAAGGGAGATGGCCACACCGCAGTTCCTTCTTGGGATTTTGGGCAGACATACATGAACCCGGCATGATTTTCAAGCCACCAGGTCCATGGGCTCGAACTGATAGGCAGTGTAGGAATCTGGCACCTTAACCACCAGGCCACCTGTTGGCCCCAAAAAGGCTTGTTTTTAACTAGTGTCTGTCCTTTCACGTAGGTTGCTGAGATCACAGGTGTTGTGGAAACAGCCAAAGTTTACCAGCTTGGAGGCACGAGAACAAACAAAGGGCTACAACTACGGTGAGAGGTGCTTCCATGGCTGCTTCTGCTCCCGCATCAAACAGGCACTGCTGTTTGGGCTTCGATTCCCAGTGTGGGTTCTTTGTGTTACAGTGAACATAGTTAATGCTGTCCCCAAAGGCACTTGGAGGGAAACTTGTATTCCACCTTTGCCTGTAGGGACATCCTCTGCCACAGTGGGCACCAGGGATAGGAAGCTGCAGGACATGTCGAAAGAAAATGCCGGACCCTGGGAGACCCTTCCCAGAGCCTGGAGGCGTTTTCTTGTGCTAATCATCAGGAGGCTGGCTTCTGGTCCTGGCTCGGTTCCTCTGCCAGCCTCATCTGTGACAAGTCGGGTACCTTTCTGGACTCGGTTTGCTTCAGGGAAATGAGTATGTCATTCACTCAACAATTATTTACTCAAGGTCTACCGTGTGCTGGGCACTGTTCTCGGCATCGAGATAAAGGAGAGACCAAAACAGTCGCATACAAATCCCTGCCCCCAGAGCCCGAGTATTAGACCCCGTATAGGAGAAACAGGAGGAGTCTACCAGGCTTACACGGCAGTGGGTAGTAGACACGGTTTTCCCATGGCCCAACTTGGTCTCCATGGTGTCTCCGTTCCCCTCTCCCACCCTCTCACCTCCTCTGGCCTGTTTAAAAAGAGCTAGATGGATGTAGGGAGTGGCTGTGAGAAGCAGAGACCCCCTAGGGAATGGCACTGAGTCACTTGGCTTTGCCAGCAGGAGGAAGACCGTGTTCTTCCCCGGTAGGGAGTAGTGTTGTGTGTCATTCATTCAGATGAATACATAACTTTGCGTAGTCTTCATGTTGATTGTGACCTGTTTCATTGTTAATTAACTTTTGGAAGCATTGGCTAAGTCTCTTGCTTTCCAGTGCTAACTTCATGATTCTCAACCCTGGCTGCCCATTGAAACAAACTGAGAGGGTGGTTTTGTTTTGGTCTGTTTTTAATTCCAGTCCCTGGTTCTTACTCCCAGAGATTGGGATTCGCTTGCTCCAGGGTGGTGTTTTAGCATTGGAATTTTTATAATGGTTCAGTATGGTTCTAAAGAGAGCCAAGCTTAAGAACCCCAGAGGTGGGCAGTGCACACACTGGAGGGGTGCTTTGCTGGTCTGCAGTCAGCACGCAAATCTTGGAGCTGCTGTTTCTTTTCTGTGTAGGCATGGCAACGACCAGCGAGTATTCCGCCTAGAGTTTGTCTCAAACCAAGAATTCACTGAAAGTGAATTCATGAAGTGGAAAGAAGCGGTGAGTAGCTAGAGACTGCCTAACAGTTTTTCGTGAATACTGACAGCGTTTCTTTTCCACAGTCCCTAACTTATCTTTTCTCATGTTTTGGTCCAGATGTTCTCTGCTGGCATGCAGTTGCCCACTTTAGATGAAATCAATAAGAAGGAATTATCTATTAAAGAAGCTCTTAATTATAAATTTAATGATCAGGACATTGAAGAGGTAAGAAACCTAGTACCCCAGAGCCTGGAGGGTCTTAAAAGAACCATTGTTTAGAGAAGATCATGATTTTCTTTCCCCATTTTGAGCTGTGCATGAAATTGCTACCTTATTATTTATACTTCATCAAACTTTTCTCTGTACATTCGCACCTAAAGTCATAGATTAAATGTATTCAGGGTTCAGGGATCTGGCCTTCAAGAGTTTTCTTTCTTTAAAACATTTTGGTAAAATTCTTTGATCTCTGTTCTCTTGGACCGTGGCTAGCCTTACAGTACCAGGCCCTTGGGCTGCTGCTGTTAATTGGTGCATGTTCCTTCAGACTGTCCCAGAAGAATCTCGGTGACTCCAGAAGCAGCATAGTACCCCTTGCAGTGAACTCTCTTTCTCGGGCATGGCACTGCGTTAATTGGTGCATGTTCCTTCAGACTGTCCCAGAAGAATCTCGGTGACTCCAGAAGCAGCATAGTACCCTTGCAGTGAACTCTCTTGGGCGTGGCACTGCTGTAGGAGGAGCAGCCCCCTTTTAACTAGCTGCTTGCCTCCAAAATGGGCTCGCTTAGCCTGCCTGCAAAAGTAGCTTAGGAAGACCTCACTGCTGGTATCTCCTCTCTGGTACAGATTGTAAAAGAGAAAGAAAGGTTCAGAAAAGCTCCACCCAACTATGCTATGAAGAAGACTCAGCTGCTAAAGGAAAAGGTAAGGACTTGCTCACAAGCCTCTTTCCCCACCCTGTAAGGAAGTGTGGAAACCAAACTTGTTCATCCTCTGACAAGATAATGGTGGCAGGATTGGGAGGAAATTCTAGGCTTGACTAGAAGCAATACAGTGCATTCTTGGCACCTGGGCATTCCTTGGCCGTTTCTATAAATTGAAGCGGATCATGTTTGATTTGTTTAATTCTCCTTACTTCCTAGGCACTTTAGTTTCATGTATAATGAAATAGACCCCAGGGTAGAAGTCAGCATTGGGTCTAACATACTGATTCTGTCAAGCCCAGCTGTGGTTGGTGGTTTTCTGTTCTTCACACCAGGATGGGGTGAGCCTTGTTACGGAGCTTCATTGAGCCATAGAGGGTCTGGCTTCTAAGGTTAATGTTACCTATCACTGCCACCAGGCGTCTCGAGCCATATGGGAAGGTGCTCTTACTACTAAAAATTATTCCCGTTCTTTGTGAAGTACTTCTTCTATATTCCTTCACATCTACATGGGATATCTGACCCGTGTGGGATCCAGAGCCATTTGTAGCCAAGAGCTCATGCCTCTCTGTGTGTGCAGGCCATGGCCGAGGACCTGGGAGATCAGGACAAGGCCAAACAAATTCAAGACCAGCTGAACGAGCTGGAGGAGCGGGCAGAGGCCCTGGACCGCCAGCGAACAAAGAACATATCTGCCATCAGGTGTGTTACCGAGCCTGTTTGGGTCACACCTCTATCTTTGGCCCACATACCTTGGCCGAAATTACCAGGAGAGTTTGTGACCTTGGGCGCCCTGTGCCGCACTGCACTGGCTTCACAGCTCCCCAGGGTCAAGGCTCAATGGCTCCCTGCCTCCTCTCACAGCCCACTGACTCACCCCTCTTACTCACCCTACAGTTACATCAACCAGCGGAACCGGGAGTGGAACATCGTGGAGTCTGAGAAGGCCCTTGTGGTGAGTAAGACAAGTGCATCTGGATCACTGAACATTTCTTTAACAAAATAATGGGAAATCTTTTCTACATCTTGCTAGAGTTTGATTTTGTTTCAGTCCCTTGCAAAGACTGTTACGCATGTGCCAGCTTATGGTGAATGAGAGGAGTGGGAGGAGCGGGAAGGAGACAGTTCTGTAATGCATGCTCTCGGTTTCAGGCTGAAAGTCACAACATGAAAAACCAACAGATGGATCCCTTTACCAGGCGGCAGTGCAAACCTACCATTGTTTCTAATGTGAGTGCTTAAAGAGGACAGTTTTAGTGAGGACCTAGATTCTAGGACATAAAATGAATTCCATTAGGAAATTAATAAAGAAGTTAAAAATAATGTTTTCTTAGCTGGGATTTGCTTGCCTCAAGCTCCTGGGTCTGGACGCTTCCTTTTTTAACTTGCTATAGGGCATACAGGTAGAGAAAACCTGGCATGGATTTGTAAAAACCCAAGGACCAGCAGCCCCCTGTACCAGGGTGGGTTTCCAGGGCAGTAGACTGCAGCGATCCGTCCCTAGCTCGGGCTTTGCTGGGCTTTAATGCTCTTACTTGTCCTTTTTGGCTGCTTAGAAGAGAACCCCACTGACTGCTGAAGGGTCCACCGTGGTACTTGGGATTAGTGGTGGTAGGTGGGGAGAACCTGGCAGTAGGAGTCGAGTGTTGAGCAGTCTCTACAATAACTTACTTTCTCTCTCAGTCCAGAGACCCAGCTGTTCAGGCCGCCATCTTGGCCCAGCTGAATGCAAAATACGGTTCTGGAGTATTGCCAGATGCTCCAAAGGAAATGAGCAAGGCAAGTGCAGGGACCCCTGGTGGGCTGCTGACGAGGCTGCTGGCCGGGCACTGAGCAAGCCTCTTACCTGTTTGAGCTTGATGTTTGCACCTGGAAGAACATTGAGCCCACTTGAAGCCCTTTCTCCATCTCAGTTACACCAACAGCTACTGAATCTGGACCAGACAACCTGCGTTCTCTACCAACACCGCTACTTAACTAAAAGGGCCTTGTCTTTCAGCAACTTTTAGACCTCTGTGCCACAATTTCTCATAAGCAAGGTGGGGATAATAGTATCTTCTACCTACCTCTCAGGATAATTGGATCAAATGATTGTAAAAGTAAGAGCTCTTTGAAAACACATCCAAAAAAAAAAAACTGCGAGAAACTGCCATGTAGAAGCGTTTTCTGCCCAAGTAAGGCTTTTTCCTGTGAAGCCATCAGTGCTCCAAGAACTCCGACCCCGACTTGGTGGGTTACAAGGCAGCCTGTTGGTGGGGCCAGCAGGTGACATGGAGGTTAAGGGCGTTGGACTCCCACATGGCCAACTGCGGTTCAAATACCGGACCTGACAGCTTGCTTTCTCACTTTCCCTCTCTCTCACGTTGTCCTCTCTGGTCAAAATAAAAAATAAGTAGGTGGTTAAATGAAATCATTCTTTAAAAAAAAAAGAGAGTGGCCTGTTGGGCCAGCAGGTGGTGTGGAGGTTAAGGTGCTAGATCCCACATAGCCAGCTTCATGGTAGAACCCTGGGCCCAAGAGCTTAAGAATCATACTGAGCGTGTGTGCATGTGTGCCCAAAGTCCCAAGAGGAGAGTGAAGGAGGAGGGATTGCAGAGTGGCCATTCCCCCAAGGGATGATTTTTTACTTTCTCTGTCTCTCTCTGGTGAATGCTCACATATTTTTTAAAAGAATTATTTAATTTTATTTATTCATTCACTTATTTTAATTTGACAAGAGAGAGAGAGAAAGAGGGAAACTGAGAAAGCAAGCCACCAGGTCCAGGACACGAACTGTGGTCTCCTATGTGGGAGCGTCCAGCACCTCAACCACCATGCCACCTGCTGGGCCCCAATTCTATGGTAAAAACTTTAAAAATAAATAAAAAGTAAAAGGAAAAAGGGGGGGGGCCTGTTGTCTTTAGCCCACCCTTTCTGCTCTCATAGCACAGACATGAGCCTTCGCATCTTCGTTTTCAGACTGCAGAAGAGAAAGCTCTTTGTGGCCTCTCCATGCTCCATCTCTCTGAGAAAAGAAATCAGAAAAGGGCTTTAGTAGGAAAATCTAGTGAACTGTTTCCATTAGTGACGGCTGCCTCTTGAAATCCACTTGCGTTTATGCATTTTTAATTAGGTTTCCTCTTTGCATTGCAGGGTCAGGGAAAAGATAAAGATTTGAATTCTAAGTCAGCCAGTGACCTCTCCGAAGACCTGTTCAAAGTACATGATTTCGATGTGAAGATTGATTTACAAGTTCCCAGCTCAGGTATGCGAGGGGATGGGGAGTGCTGATGGCCGAGGACCAGATGGGTCCAGGGCCCTCTCGGCCAGCAAGGGGGCCTGAGTTCCAGGGAACATGGGGATATCTACTCATTCGAGGCTCCTGAGGCTGAGGTAAGACAGGCTGCAGGGTGAGAGGGGCTAAGGCCACGACCAGGCTGCCTGAGGATGAAGACTGGAAGACTCGTAGGGACCCAGCCGCCAACCTGCCCTTCTTTCCCGCAGAGTCCAAGGCTTTGGCCATCACTTCCAAGGCTCCACCGGCCAAGGATGGGGCTCCGAGGAGATCTCTGAACTTGGAAGACTACAAAAAGCGACGGGGGCTCATTTGAGCACACCCAGCCTGCTGCTCCAACCCCGCATGCCCATCACAGTGTCCCGCCTTTCCTCTTTTCCTTTGATCTGCCCTCTTTGGGCTGGAACAGCAGAACTGGGAAGAGACTCGAAACTGCCAGTCATCTGTAATATAAACCATTTGCTGTATAGACCTCCCCTGTCTGCACCATCTCCCACATCCCTGTCCTCCCGCCCGGCCCCACCAAGTGTGGATCTGGGCTCTCTTGGGCTTTATCCATGCCTTTAGATTTGTGTTTTCCCTCTTTTTATTTTTTATTTTATTATTATTTTTTAAAAAACCAGCACAGTTCATTGGCCACTCTGCACGCATTCAGTATTACCATGGAGCTGGGCTTCTTGCTGGAGCCTCTGGTGGCGATAGCAGCAGCACTGGGCAGTCTCTGCAGGCTGCCTCGGCCCCAACCATTGAACATTTGGCACCTGCCCCTGTGGAGGGAGTGGGGACTGGGCACCTGCAGTCCTCCTTCCTCTCTCCTCATCTTCCCTTCTTCCTATCTCTGTGGAAGAGGGGTTTTCAAAACCAACTTAGTTTCCAAAAAGTGTATATTTGTGGGGAGGGAGGGGGGGTCTATTTGAGAGTGAGAGAGAGTGTGTGTTTGTATGTATGTGTATGTAAGTGTGTGGATTTTTTATCATTTTTTAAAATGCAGTACTCTTTGTATCAGTCTGTCATGGGTCTATAGCTGTTTCAGATTTTTTTCAGCTGTACTTGAGCATCTGAAACTGCAAGAAAGAAACTCATTAAATGTGATTCTTCTTACTAAACAGGCCTGACTGCTGTAGCTGTGTAACTTCCCCTCTCCACGTCCTTCCCATCCCATCGCCTTCCTGCCTCGAGGAAACTCCCCAGTTTAGCCCCTTGCCCTGCAGGCCAGGTCCTGGCAGGTGAGAGGGATGCCACAGCCAGGTACCAGGGAGGGCAGAGAAGTGTCTCGCTCGTCCATGGGTACAGCCCACAGCTTCTTGGCCAAGCATAGTGTGTCTTTTCCCCACCCAGTGTACCTGTCTCTTAGTGATTCTGTTTTGCTGTTCTGGCAAGAATAACATTTTGTTTTGTTTTTTAAGAGAAATGCAACATGAATGTGCAGAGAGAACACAAAAAGGTGTAGGTTGCAAATGTACCAAGCATGTGCAGTTGTGTGTGTGTATACATATATATATGGTAAGCATATATATTGTGCAGCTAGGGTGAAGCCAGCAGAGGTGTGTATGTCTTTATGAAATGTTTGAAAAGAGATAAGCTGACTGCTTGATAATCATTCTCAGGTGTAAAGCTCCAAGTGTAAATAAAAGTGGCATTTAACAAATCTTTTCAGAACAAAGTACAGCTGACTATATACCAAGAACTAAGCTAAAGAAACAGCTGAGAGCTGCCGATTTCCCCAAGAGGGAGCGGAATCTAGAAGCTCTGCTTTGTACTTCTTCACCCTACTTCTGTATAAGGAAGGGGGGCGATGGGAATCACGGAGTGAAGTTGTATTTCAACATAAAAATGAGCTTGGTCATTCTTCTGGGTTTAGTAGAGCCTCAGTGTTGCTTTAACTTAGTTTACATTTTTTTATTCTTTAAAAAAGCAGCGATGGATGGTTTGAAGGAAGTATCATGACTGTAAAATGGGTACACGAGGCAGTAACAGCGACGTGGGAACTGGAGCACGGTGCGGCTGGGCAGAGGAGTGGTGATGGACTCATTAAATCACACATACTTGAACAGTCCATTGCCCGAAACTCTGTATAGACAATTGTGTAAACGCGGAATCACAGACTGCTAAACCTTGCCCGGACTCCAGCAGAGTCCCGGAGCTGCTGGGACCTCTCTGATCATGACGAACTCGGACTCGTTTCCTTTCTGGTTTTAAAAGACATAAAATTACAGAATCCGTATAATTTGTCGGAGTCATTCTGATCCACCATGTAGATCTGTATTTAGTATCATTTGGATTTGGATAAGTGTTGATTATATCATGGCTGTGTAATAAAATTTTTATTAAAACCACATCACACTGTAGCCACTTTGCCACTACCTCCCCACACAGCTGCGGAAACCTTTATTCGGAGACGCCACAGCACAGAGCAGGGAGAAAACCCGCCACGGGAGATGGAATGTTCTCTTCTCACTGGCAGCCTGCTCAGTGAGTACCGTCAAGATGAAGCACAGCGCAGACTCGGCCAGGCCCACGGCATCACACTGCCCACCAGCCAGGGCTTCTTGGTGCGTCTCAGTACTTCCGCCCCCACTCCCTCCCCCGTGTGGCTTCAGTGCGCAGCACCTGAGGCTGTTTTAGACATGTTTTCAGTTCTCTCTGAGAAGCAGAAAGGCCAGTGTCCCTACGCCTGGCTCATGGTGCGTATCGGTCCATGTCCATCTCACTCCCAACAGGTTCAGGGAAAAACTGCTGCCTGCAATTGCCCTTCAAAAAGAAGGCTGCTGCTTTGTTTCTGCAAGGTCCTGACTTGGCGCTCAAATTGTACAGATATTTGTAAATAAATGGTGTCATTTTAACAGGGACCAGGTTTAGTCCAAGGTTTGCACCTGAGTGGTGGCTGTCAAAGTCATGTTTAGAAGTCCAAGAGAGCCTCTCTTGTTGGTCCTTTCCTTCCTCCCCCTCTCGGCTCTGCGCCCTGAAAAGTGGAAGCAGCTGTTTACTCCGGCGCCGGCTCCCCAGTACCCCCCTGGTAGGGTAGTGAGTTGCCCAGACCCAGCCTGACACCCAGGTGCCCTGGTTTCCTATCTTAGTAGGAGACCAGCGAGCTTTAACAGCCAGGAAGGCCCCCGCACAATGGCCAACCTAGTGAGAATCTGGGTTCTCCAAGTGGCAAACTGCTTTCTGACCATAGTTTGATTAGGAAACAGGAAGATCTTAAGTGATCTACCCTCTAGCCACTGGAAGGTGTAAGAGGACAATCACAGTGTAGGAGGAGCAGGGCTCAGCCCACGAGGGCTGCCAATGAGGTCCTCTCCACCTCCCCATCCCTCCCACTGCTTGGCAATTGGGAGCAGGGGACCCTAGAAGCAGGGATTCTGAGCAAACACAGCCAGCCCGCTTCCTGGTTCTTTCCCGGGACCCTCAGGGTCCGAGCAGCCACCTGTCTGCCTGTTTGGGAAGCCTGAGGGAGGACCCCCTACAGTGCAGGAGGAAAGGGGTGCTGGGGCCGCTGCTTCACCCCTCTAGGTTCTAGAAGGGAAGTGGTTCCTTGGGTAAGCATGGGTGGCCCTGGTCCAGCAGCTCTAGCAGCCAGAAAGCCATCCACCCCAACTCAAGATGTTTTGCAGGGCCGGCCAGTTTTCGTCCCGGTGGTTAAGGGAGCTGCTGGATCCTGCATAACCGACCTCGCAGTTCAGGTCCGAATCTGGTGGCTTGGAACACCCTGGGTGCATGTGCATGCGTGCCCCAAATCCCAGCAAGATGGAAAAAGGATTATAGCGTGACCGTGCCCCATGGGGAGGCATGCTTTCTCCTGTCTCTCTGGTGAGCATATGCACCCTCTGGCAGATCAAAAGGAAAAAGATCATTGTTATGATTTCCCTGACCAAAGGCCAACTGAGCCCCCTCAAGGTATGTTGGGGGGCTAGAAGTAACACCAGTGCCAAAGGAGGGACTACAGATGGAACCTTCTGTAACGTTCCCTGGCCAGCTCAGTGCCCACCAAGCAGAAATTGGAGTTCTCGGACCAAGTGGGTCTTAGCCACTGGAGCACCAGCACACCAGGGGCTTCTAGTCCCTGCTCCTAACCTGAGGGAGAGCTTCCTTCAGGGCTCATCCCAGCTCCACTAAATTCCTAAGGCTGAGCTTGTCCTTCCTCTGAGCCACAAGTTCCCCATCGTTTTTAGTTTTTTAAAGAATTGTTTTATTTAGCTTTATTTATTTTAATTTGGGCAGAGAGAGAGGAAGAGAGGGGGTGCAAGAAAGCAAGCCACTAGGTCAGGGACTCCAACCGCAGTCGGCTATGTGGAAGTCCAGCACTCCTAACCACGCTGGCCCCAAGTTCCCCATCTTTTAAAAAGGGTAACCCATCAGGCTCATGTGAAATATTAAGTATCCCTGTTTGAAGTAGGGGTTCAATAAATGTTAGAGCCTGCGGGAACCAGCAGTTAGCATAATGGCTATGTCGCTGGACTCCCACGTAGTCGACCGTGGTTCGTGTCCCGGACCCGGTGGCTTAAAACTCACGCCAGGCGCGTGTGCGTGCGTGCCCAAGATCCCGAGAGGAGAATGGAGGAGAAGGGATTGCGGTGTGACCATCCTCCTGGGGGGTGATTTCTCGCTTTCTGTCTCTATGTCTCTGTCTGGCGAGCGCACACGCCCTACAGTGAAAATCTCTCCAAAAAAAAAAAAAAAAGTTAGAATTTGCTCTGCCCTGGAGAGGCTGTCTGGGCAGAGTGGCTGCCAGGGGGAGCCCAAGGGTCAGGGTGGAGAGGGTAGCTGGGACTTCAAGAGAACGACGGCCTGGGCCCCTGGCAGAGGGCACGACCTGATGCTGGCCTGATGCTGGAGCACAGTCTCCCGGCGGCTGGAGCTCCAGGGTAAGAAATTCGGCTTCCATGGGACCAGCGGTTAGCGTAATGGCTGGGTCGCTGGACTCCCAGGTAGTCAGCTGCGGTTCACGTACCGGACCCGGTGGCTTAAAACTCACGCCAGGCGCGTGTGCGTGCGTGCCCAAGATCCTGAGAGGAGAAGGGATTGCGGTGTGGCCATCCCTGGGGGGGGGGGGAG